CGGGCTAAGAACTTATTTTCTCCAGGGACATCATTTTACTGGTTTCACAAATCGTGAGAAATAGTTTATACCTTACTTTTCACAAGAAAGTTCACTGGTTTATTACAACAATATTGCTGAATTAATACCAATGCTAGAAGTTGCAATCTATGAACCAAGTGAGGGGTGATTGTTCATTGATTCCTCCAAAAGAAGTCTAAAAGGTGTTCTCCTTCACAATGGTAACATATATAAATCTGTTCCTATTGTTCATTCAGTTCATTTGAAGGAAACATACGAAAATCTCGAACTTCTTCTTAATAAGGTCAAATACAAATAACATGGTTGGCTACTTTGTGGAGACTTAAACGTCCTTTGTATGTTATTGGGTCAACAATTCATTTATACAAAGTTCCCCGTTTTTTGTGTGAATGGGATATCAGAGCACGAAATCAGGACTGGCTAAAGAAGCAATGGCCACGCAGAGTCAGTCTGATACCAGAATCGAAAAACATTGAACGTAAAAGTTTGATTGACACAAAGAAAGTCCTATTACCTCCATTTCACATAAAACTGGGCTTAATGAAGCAGTTTGTATAGACCTTAGACAAAGATGGCGACTGTTTCAAGTATCTATGTGGGAAGTTCCCAGCTCTTTCAGAAGCGAAACTTAAAGAAGGGATTTTTGTTGGACCTCATATTAGGAAATTGACTTCGGACGAACAGTTCAAAAGGATGATGAGAAAAATTAAAAGGAAGCGCGGTTTGCCTTTATAGGTGTTATTGACAATTTTTCTAGAAACAACAAATACCCAAATTACGAAAATATTGTGAATAGCATGCTCGATAAATTCAAAGAGTTGGGTTGTAACATGAGCTTGAAAGTTCATTTCTTAAACTCACATATCGACTATTTCCCTGCAAATCTCGGTGCCATCAGCGAAGAACAAGGAGATAGGTTTCATCAAGACATCAGGGAAATGGAGATGAGGTATCAGGGAAGGAGGAACATCAGCATGATGGCTGATTACTGCTGGTCATTGAAACGAGATGCTCCAGACGCAATACATAAAAGACCACAACACGTAATTTTGAGACTGAAAGACGTAGATTTCACAAATAAAATCAGGATGAATGAGGATGCATATCCGTTTAACATCAATGTTTTCCTTTTTCTTCAGTTTGTTTGTATTTTTATTAACAAACATAATAATAATAATAAAATGTTCCTTATGATAAACGAAATAATAATTTGATCTAAGTAAGAGTTGTTGTTTTTTTCTTCCCGATTTGTAAAAAATCCTTAAGTGATAGAAAAAAAAAGAATATTATTTTCGAAATCTGCGTAGCTGAATTATGAAAATTCCGTTATTAAAACTAAAAGAACTTTTATGAAGTTTAAATTCGCAGGCACGTGTATTTATTTAAACACTGACCCGCCGATGTAATGTTCGTACACTGGTAATACTACCATTAAAACTTAACTTATACAAAATTCTTGAAGTTGTTTTCTTTCCGTGTCCTAATACATAGAAAGACATGTTTTCTAGGAACGTAAAGAATTGAAAGTTTGCAAAGAAAACATTTCGAGACCTTTATTTCCAATATTACACACGCTATCTATTGTCAGACCTTTGTCTCTGAGTTATGTGCATGAGCATTTCTGGTTTCTAATGTTTCGAACTGTTACTATTTTCAAATGAATCGCACTTTGCACAAAAAAAAGGTCTGCATTTTTCATATTACACTTTTAATTATGTCGATAGCGCTATATTCGCGCTTATCAAGTCTTTTCTACATGATTTTTTTTTTACTTTTACGCTGTCTATTTAAACACGTGTAACATTCAAGCTATGTTCTTTTTAAGATAGCTATAAACTGGATGTCCATTTTATTAGAACCGCCACGTAATATCGGATTTGACTACCTTTCGCCTTGATAACAGCTTGGATTCAGTATGACATAGATTGTGCCCCATTGGTCGAGAAGTAAGGTGTGCAATTAGTTCACAAATACAAATAGATCATGCAAGGTTTAATTCCATTCTAAATGTGCTGAATTAGGCTACTATTCAGTGATTGTGGTAGCCAAACAAAGTAATTATGGACAATAAGAGTACTGTAAATTTTACGTTTTTGTCTATCAAAATTTACATGCAGGATTGAAACGCTGGTTTCATTGTAAATTTCGATAATATATGCCTTTCTTAACCCTTGGACTGCGACTGCTATAAACGCGCGCGTAAATTTTGCGAGTTGTACACTGCATACTGTATACTGAGAATTAGAAATCAATGAATTAAGAATTTAATGGACCATACCTCTACTACAAGAACATTTCCATAACATCATACCACCTTCAGCGGCTTCTACTGTTTAAACAACAAAACAAAGATCACATCGCTCATGTGGTTTTCTCGACATTTTACTCTACTATTATACAGGCAACAAACAGTTTTTGTTTGTTTTCGCTCTCTGTTCACGGCAAATAATCGAACCCCGGATATTAGCATTGTAAATGCGTAAGCTTACCGCTGACCCACCAGGGGAGGGAACTACAGAAAACACTGAAAAGCTACTCATAATTTCACATCACATCTTTCATTCTCCACAGTTTGCATATCATGTTCCACAGAAACCGCGTTTCCTGTTTGCATCTAGGATAAGCTGTTTATTTTCAGATGTTTTTTTTTTCTAATCTCCTTTGCATTCTGAATATTAATTAACGAATCGGTCAGCTGCGAAACAATGTGATGTCCGTTTCACTTTATACGCGTATCTAATCGTCTACGTTCAGTCACCAGAAGTTAGTGGCATTCAGTTTTTTTCCTGCTTGTAGACGTAATCGTTTTCGATTGCCATTTTTGATAGACTTTAATGTCTTTTGGCGGCCGACATTCCTTCTAATTGGTCAACTACTACTAATCCATGTTGAAGTTTGGAAATTTTAGTTGTTTTCGTTCGTTGTCTTATAGGCTTATCATGAAAAGACAATATCTTCACATTTACCAATAAGAAAAAAGCCTATTGCACATTTTAAAATACAGTATTTTTACAAAGTATGAATGGGTCGTAATCACGTCGACAATCGAGATCTAATTAGCAACCAAGAGTTTTGTAAGTTATGAAGGTTGAAAATGTTACCACTTGCTGTACAGATTAGCTTGCTTAACATTATAATTATCAAAATAATTAACATGTAAAGAAATTCAAAGCTGAAAGTATGTAGATTGTTGATCTCAATTGTCATTAAGAATTGTCTATAATTGTGGTCACTCACTCACAACTATTATTCAATTAAACATTATAACAATTTATGAAAAGTTATTAACCATCAACAGAACAAATAGAGTGACGTAATCTCTGCGAATAGGTTACTCATGTAAATTTATTCTTACTGACAAGACTCATAATAATAAAAGTATGAATTATTCAACAATTTGGGTAGCAAAAACCAACAAATAATAAAGAACCTAATAAATCCAGTAAACTCTTTGAAGAAGATCGTTAGAATTGTTTGTTTGTTTTGAATTTAGCGCAAAGCTACACGAGGGTTATCTACGCTGGTCGTCCCTAATTTAGCAGTGTAAGACTAAAGGGAAGGCAGCTAGTCATCACCACCCACCGCCAACTCTTGGGGTACTCTTTTACCAACGAATAGTGGGATTGACCCCCACGGCTGAAAGGGCGAGTACGTTTGGTGTGACAGTGATTCGAACCCGCAACCCTCAGATTGCGAGTCGAGCGCCCTAACCACTTGGCCATGCCGGGCCATATCGTTAGAAGTGTAAGCTAATAATTTTCTGAAATTCTTTCTGCTTGCTCAATCACACGAAATAAATAAAACATGCATAACTGAACAAACTTTCGTTATTAGAAATACTGATTATTGGAACCTCACATTTTTTTCTTTGTTGCTTACAAATGAAATATTGAAGCAAAAAATATTTAATTATAAGGCTTGTTATCTCATAGCAACCAAACCAATGGTATCTTCTGCTATTCCCATAAACTAAATAAACACATTTATTTACACGTTTAAAATTTTCTTTTTTTATATTTTACACATTTTCGTGGAGTTATTATTTAGAAAATTTTCCGAAGAATTTAATAATTATGCATAAATTCATAGATAATAGAACGTAAAATAACTGATATTTTTTACATGTCATTTTTTTATTTAACGTGTTTCATAAATGAGTCTATTTGTTTTATTAGAGTAAATTTATCTGCTGTAGCTTGTTTCCCAGCTATGTACATTCGATATTTTCCCCCTTGATATTAGGTGGAGTCACGTGCTTTTGTGTCTCACGTGCAGGACGTGACTAAAGTAAGAATGACCTTTAATAAATGATAAGCTAAAGGCTTACAATTTCCAATCCACTGACTACACTAAAACACACTGATCATTAAGAGACTTAAATAAACGAAATTTAAATTGTTGCTCACTAATCTTAGTTCCTTCAGCATTACCAGTGTATATATATTTATTACTGTTTTATTGCCATCTTTACTGACTCTTATAATCTTCAGCTATTTTATATACATTATTAGAAATAGTCTTTACTTCCTCAATCTAGGTTTTGACGATGTTTCTTTTTTTTTCATGCATTAAACGTTTATTTAAATTCCACTTTTGAAATGAATATGGTTATTTCCACTCTTCGTTGTATCGTAAATCAATCCCACTTCATAGGTACTTTGGTGTTAATATCAGAAAAATCTCTCTTTGCCGTTTCAAACTGATTGTAGGCTTTCGAGGAAAGCCGTACCTTATTCACACCAGCTCGATGAAAACCGATAGTGTGGTTGATAAAACTCATTAAATTCCCATAACATACAAAACATAAAAGTGAAGAGACAGACATAGCACGGACAGTACATTCCTGCTACGTCCATTTCTGAAGTTTATTTGTGTTGGTACTTTTCATGTTTGGCTGAAGGTTAACAGGAAGAGGAAATATATAACAATCCTTTCCATGTGTAAAATTTAAAGCTCCAAAATCTGAAATTCAATCTCACCATTGCTTTAGAATCTATTTCTCCTAAATAGCCCACTTCTAGCTGCACATCCGTAAAAACTGGCCCTTGAATAAAGAATAAAATAAACATTGATTTGATGTCGCTTTTGTCGGTATACTTAAATTAGCTTTAGTAGACACAGTACTAGGATGCTATACCAATAATGTTCTATAAATCTAATGCACTATAGTAGTCATACATAAAGGAAGTTTTAGCCTATTATTCGCATTTTTAAATAGAATAAATGCATAATCTAACTTCAAATCAAAATGAATTCGTTTCCTCTGTTATTATTCAGTCTCGACTACACTCAAATTCAAATTCAATAATTTATCGAATGTTTATTATACGTTCCCTTCCAGTTTTAGAACATAATTTAGAGAATTTTTAACCGTTTTTATTTTTCTGTATTTATAATGACTTCATGTCGATTAAAGTTCTAACTTAAATGTTTTAATGGCTTGAAGTATTTATAATCATTGAAGTAATATATTGCTGTTATTTTTATTATGCAGTTAATCTTAAAAGCGTAAATTAAAAAAAAAGATTGTAGACCTTTAGCAAACTAAGAGAACGATATAATAACTTTCATTATTAAAAATAAAGATCACAGCAATCAACAGCATCACATATTAATTATACATTGATAGTATAGAATTATAGTTTATATTAAAGAATTAAAAAATATATAGTACATTTCACTTTTTGTCTCCCCTCCAAAAAAAATTAAGGGTTGTTAAAATTAACGTCCAATTAGAGCAAGCTACTTACTTATAGCATAACTAAAACATCAACTATATCTGACCAAATATATTTTTCTTACGCCCTTACTTACAGTCTTGGCCAAAATGTTTGCATACTTTTCTTTATTGATGTTATTGTCTGCATACATGGAGTAGTTATTAAGTAAATGCCCGAGTAGTAACAGAGAAGGTAGCGTATGATTGGACAAACAAGTACGATTTGTTATTCTGGTCTGTATAAATTGTTTTTATAATTTATTTTTCAAAACACAGATACACACGTGTTTTGTGTAAAAAGGCGTGCTTTTGGTATAATATTTTTCGGAACAAATCAATGTTTTGCTCAGACAATTTCAATGTACTTGGTGTAGAGTCATGCCTCGTCACGTGCCAGAAGTTATAGGGCGTTAAATTGTTCTACTGTCCAAAAATGGTATGAAGCAAACGGACATTGCCAGAACAGTAGGGTACCCCCAGTGTACTGTATCCAGAATTCTGAAACGTCATCGGACTACTGGAAAGACTACTAGTAGACGTCGAAAAACTAATGCCCAAGATGACCGTGTTTTGATCAGGTTAACACCTCAATATTTGCAAAACCTTATTACAGGAATGGTATGAACACATTCATTCCAGGATATCTAGAAGAAGTAAATAGGAGACTGACCAAACAAGATTATTTTGCAAGAAGGGCTATCTGCAAATCGATATTAACCGAAATTCACCGCCGTCACCAAGTTATTCGTGCAAGACAGCATATCAACTGGCGACATGTCATCCTTTCAGATGAGTCCTGTTTCCGGCTTGTTAAAGCTTTGGTAAGATTTGTGTTCGTCGTTTGCCTGGAGAACAGATGAGGAAAAAACATCTTTCCCACAGAGAACACATAGGAGATGGTGCAGTATACGTTTGGGCAGCTATTCATCACGGTAAAAAACTGCTCATCATATCTTCCGGGGAAACGTCAATGGCGCCTCCTAGAGGCATCACATGGAGCAAAGTTTGTCAATATTTTTTTATTCCAGGATGACAGTGCTAATACCCACATTGTGCATATTGTACAGGATTATCTCGACCAAGAGGATGCTACAAGATTGCCATGGCCAGCAAAGTCTCCAGATTGTAATTCCATTGAGAACTGTTGGGCAGAACTGAGCCGGAAAATTGCTAACCACGACCCTAAACTAGCTACTGTAGCTGAGTTGCAGTGCCTTATAATGACAAGTTGGAAGTAAATCACAGTGGATTACATCAATAACCTCATCGACAGCATGCCACGTGGCTTTGTGGAGGTTATTAGAGTACGAGGAGGACCAACCAAGTACTTAATGTTTAATATGAACTGATATAAAGTTACAAACGCTATTTATAATAAATTGATATTGTATTTTGTCATTATATATGCTTTAGTAAGGTTTTGTTGTGATAGGTGAAATGCTGAATTACACATCTTTCTACAGGTGTCTGATAAAATTATTTGCCGTTCTAATAAATCGTTCATGATGTCCATATAAGCTGTTCCATTATATAAGTTACATATGTAGATGTTTAATATAACATGCATTTCTCAGTTGGACAGTGCTTAGTGTATTTGTATTCCATCTTATTAATAATGATCTAATATGTTACAAAATATGCAAACATTTTGGCCAAGACTGTATATAGATTAGAGCGTATTGTTTCATCAGTTGTGTACTCTCGCTTTTAACGATATTTTCGGTTGTAAACCCAATAGTATCTCACGTGATTCGGCCAGCTTAGAATACTTAGACTAGTCCTAGGTACAACTATTAAGCTCGCAATGGAAAACAACCTCTATAATAAAAATATAAAAACAAAAATTACAATTAAATATAGCAAAAATAGATAGTCTAAAGATTCTAACCAATACTGTTAATGAAAGTAAGTTTAAAAGATAATAGAGTATACCTCACTTAGGTAACACACCACAATTAGCCATTAGCTTTAAGTACTGTCGTAAATTTTAGGTTCGTTGAACAACGTAACATCATTATAATCGTGTATAAACTTAATTTTCTAAAACACTAAAAACGCCTTGTTGTCAAAGGTAATACGTTACTGACAAACATAAAGCACACTCAAGCACTAATGTGGATCATGCTGGTTCTAGGGACGAATAAATGAACTATACCAATGTTGGATTTCTGGTTTATATGTTTATAGACTTACCGTTAGTGGCGTTTGGACGAATAAACCGATCATAATTCTTTTCTTTGGTCAACTCATGAAATTTTGTTTCTGAAAGAATCTCATTGGTCCTGAAAAAAATAATTATTACAGTACTTAATACTGTCAAATTAGTTGTCAAGCCTTAATGGATCTAAAATTACAGTACTTAATATTGTCAAATTAGTTGTCAAACCATAATGGATCTAAAATTACTGTATTTAATACTGTCAAATTAGTTGTCAACCCTTAATGGATCTAATTTTCCAAATATTTTGTAAAAATAAGTATATTAACAAGTACACAAAACACTTTTTTCTGGTGCATAAATAGGGTAACAGCTCATCCTGAAATTCCATTATTTTCTCAAAACGGTTTTGATAATATGTTTTGCAACGTAAATTAGGGTAACAACTCATCGTGAAATTCGATCACATTCTCAAAACGGATTTGATAATATGTTTTTGACGTAAATTTCTAACTAGATTAAAATTTTTAACATAATTTATGACTAATGTTCAGCGCACAAATAGAGTACAGTTGATGAATACTTCAAAATTCAAATATTTTGAGTACTTTTATTAAGATAAAAATATCATTGCTAAAAATTCGAAACCATATTAAATACTTACTTAATGCTAACTAAAAGCGTGATTATGAAATTCACAAAATGCCTTAGATCTCACTGATGGAGAGATTTAATTAAAAAACTGCAACAATTGTTTAAAATACAAATTAAAAATGATAGAAATTAAAGACAAGATAAAGAAAAAATCCATCCTGTGAACATAAGAAGTTGAATTATAAAACTTGAAAAACAAAACGAAGGTGTTAGTTGTATTTTCAGTCTTATAAGTACTTGGGCTAAACGACCAGTTCAGAGAACCGTACGGTTCAGGTATAATCGTCCTTATAGTTTTAAATTATTAAACAAGAAAAGGAAATCAGTCAGCAGCACCCTCTCCCCTACAAGGGCTTGTCTAACTCCTTAAATCGGATGACAAGACTGACTATCACTTTTATAATACGCTTGTAGTTGCTCTTTGAAAGTTGGAATGATTTGTTTGTTTGTAATTAAGCATAAAGCTACACAATGGGCTATCTGTGCTCTGCCCACCACGGGTATCGAAACCCGGATTCTAGCGTTGTAAGTCCGCAGACATTCCGCTGTGCCACTGGGGGCAGTTGGAATGATCGATAAGAAGCCCAACACGCTAACCACAGGCCTGGCCCATAAACATGTCAAAGAATAGTGCTATTTCTCTGTAACGAAACTGGTTAAAATATTAATTGCATAAAAATGTTAAAAACTATGGACAGTGCAAGACATCAAAAACTGTAGGACATTCTGCATACAACTATACTGGAGTCAGGACATAAATATTGAGAATAACATACTTCATGAGAGAGGATATACATATAAGTTAGATGTTAAATGTTTCTCTCTGAAATGGAAAGCTCGTAGTTGCGTGACTTACATTTTCCCATACATTTCCGAAAAAAAAAAAACTCCAGAAATTGTGTCCTCTGTATCCCTAGCGTCTACATGTCAGTCTTCTATAAACTGGATTGTCAGAATTCCTATATTATTAAATTAACTGACAACGGTCTGTACATGTTTGTTTTCTTCTACTTTTACAGAAAGAGATATATTTGAAAAATAAAGGCTTCGCAGGAACTTTGTCTGTATTGTTTGTTTGTATGGAAATGGTTTGATTATATTTAAGGACCAAAAATATGTAGTTAACTTTGTTTACCATATTTACAGTCCTAAAAATGATTTAATTACCTACAGTTGTTAGTACTTTGTAAATAATAAATAAAAAGTTTCCTCTGTTTTTATAGATTAACAAAGGAAAAAATTTTTATTTACTATTTACAATATTTTACCATATTTACAGTCCTAAAAATGATTTAATTACCTACAGTTGTTAGTACTTTGTAAATAATAAATAAAAAGTTTTCCTCTGTTTTTATAGATTAACAAAGGAAAAAATTTTTATTTACTATTTACAAGATGCTAAGAACTGTGAGTAATCAAATCATTCCTTAAGACTCCCAAAACGTTTTGCTTTTTAATGAATCAATATCATAATGAAGTGTGCTAATAAGTCATAACATTGTGTAAGCAGCGTAGGAAATAATATGAACATGGTCTCATAATTATCATGAGGCAAGGCGATTGTTTGTACATTGTTCGTAGAAATGTGATAATCAAAAAGTCAAAGACAATAACGCAATAACAGAGGCTCCAGGATCTGATCGGTGGGTGTAAATTTAAATTGAGTGGAAATAAACCATAGCCTGCAGTTAAAGTCAAAGACAATAACGCAATAACAGAGGCTCCAGGATCTGATCGTGGGTGTAAATTTAAGTTGAGTGGAAATAAACCATAGCCTGCAGTTAAAGGGCTAAATTTTATTCACACAGAAGGAAGAGAAAGAAATAGGAATAGATTAAATTCAAAAGGACACTTGCAGTTAAAGAAAGAAGGTAAATAACCAAATAGTTAAATCTGGTGAGACTAGAAGCGTTAAACACTTCTTCACCCCCTCAGCTTTTACCATCGTTGATT